CACTCCTCGGAAGGAAGGTTGGGCAATCCTACTTCCGTAGTGATACTGCCTCAGAAACCCAAGGAGGGGTCGCTATGAGTTGGGGGTGACTCGACAGCACATAACAACAACAACAACAAGGTGTTCTTCCCTCTCCCCCCCTTTTTTTTTAAATTAGAGTTCATTTCACATTTAGCTTGGTGAACTATAGGAAACTCGGAGTTGTTCCTGGGACAGTGCTCTAGGGAAAGAGATGACAAGACATATTTGAAGTTGTTGCCAAATTCCATGCACACTTGAACATGGTGTTGTCACATATGGAGAGACAATGAGAATTCAAAGTGAACTCAGGGATTGATTATGTAACTAAACCTCCTACACACCAATATATGAAAGAAAATCCTCAGGTAGGACTGAAATTGTTAGATTCTGTCCCCTCTTTCAAGGAGCTCTAGTGATGCAGTGGTTAAAGCATTTGGCCGCTAACAAAATGGTTGGCTGTTCAAAATCACCAGCTGCCTGGCAGGAAAAAGATGAGGCAGCCTGCTTCCATAAAGATTTACAGCCTTGGAAACCCTATGGGGAAGTTCTACCCTGTCCTATAGGGTTGTAATCAGTCAGAATCAACTTGATGGCCGTGGATTTTGTTCCTTTCTTGAAGATTTGCTTTACTGAGTCAATTCCTAGATTTAGCAGTAAATGCCCAAGACATCTCGAGACCAGTAACTCCATTTATACCACTAGAGGGTGATATGGTATTTCCGTCTCTAGAAGAACTCCAGTTTCTGGCTGTACTTGGAACCAGTTCCAAACAGCTCAGTCACAGCCCAAGAAACAAAGGCAGTGTACTCATTGCATAGCAACCAAATCTCTTGCTCCTTGGATTTCGACCTGTGTAGGAAATAGCCACTCCTCGGAAGGAAGGTTGGGCAATCCTACTTCCGTAGTGATACTGCCTCGGAAACCCAAGGAGGGGTCGCTATGAGTCGGGGCCGACTCGATGGCAAATAACAACAACAACAACAACAGGAAATAGCAGTGCCCCATTCAAATACGGAGTGGCCCCAACTGTGCTGCTTTGAATGTGTGTCAGGGCCCACTCGGCCACCATCTTTGAGCAGGGCACTGCTGACTTTTTCCTCATTCATTGCCATCCAGTTAATTCTGACTCATAGCAACCCCCATTGGGTTTCCAAGGCTGTAAATCTTTATGGAGCAGGCTGTCTTATTTTTCTCCCACAGAGCAGCTGGTGGGTTTGAACAACGAAACTTTTGTAACAGCCAGATGCCTTAACTACTACACCACCAGAGCTCCTTGCTCAGGTCAAAATCCCACATGCAAAACAATCGGTTCCTATGGGTTGCTATGCAGCATGTACTCTGTCCTTGTTTCTATCAGCCATGAATGAACTGTTTGGAAACTATTCAAAGGCCTGGTTCTGTGGAAGGCCAAGCAAGAGTTGCAAAGGTAAGTAATGCTGGTATCAGAGAGGGGCAGGGATTGTGGCAAACCAGAAAAGACCTGCCTCTCTAAAGCATGCACACATACACACACACCCATTCAGCTCCTGCCAATTGTCACCACCAATGCAAGCAGGCCCAGTATGCCAAATACTCCAACTTCGCTTGAAAATGGCAGAAATTTGGACAAAATGTGAAAAACATTTCTTCAGAAAATTGTTTGAAAACCACTATCTTAGCATATCTACTCCTTTTCCACCAGAAATCAAGAGTGAAATAGAATCTGATATAAGATACTTTCTGGCAAACATTTCTGGACCTATTCTGACCCACTGGCCAAGAGTATATAGGCTCTAGCCTAAAATTGGAGATGAAGATTCTCACTAGCTGATGAAATTGAACTGAAAAACCAGGAACAATTTGAAGAACTATCTGGTTTGTAAATGGACTCTTGCTTCCCTCCCTTTCTTCATGCATTATGCCAATGGTGAAAATATTCTGTAACCCTCTTTATTTCTGAGAGAGCTAGGATAAAGTTGTTTTCTGTAGAAAGCAATATAGATAGAGAAGATTATGCTGCCTATCTAGTGGCTAGAATAGAAAGGCCATCCTAGGAGCTCTGGGTAAGGGCTTATGTCATCCACAAGGACCAAAATTTGGTCTTAGAATTTCAGAAAGACATGACTCAGAAAAAAAGAAAAAAATTAAAACAGTAATATCTTCATCTTTTAGAAGAAACATGTGCTAAGAGGAAATAAAAATGTAAATAATTTTTTTAAAAAGTTAATCCTATCTAACAATCAAGATATGATAAAAGCAAACTTGAGGTATCATTCTATACAGATAAATTAGCAAGAATGTTTGAAGTATTTCTCAATGGTGGCAAGGTAAATCCTCTCATAGTTTTGGCTGTTAAAACTACAAAGTAGTGTAATCATTTAGAAAAGCAAAATGAAAATATAGAAGGTACTTCTAGGACAATAATAGCATTCATAAGAAATGAGACAGAATAAGAAACAAAACTTTTAGAAATGATAATCGCAGTATTACCCACATGACTTTAAATACATCTGGAAACAACCTAAATTTCAAAGATTAAGGAAATGGTTTCCTATATCTTAATACATCAGCATGAAAGAACTGAAAATGAAGTTTACAGAAACCATAAAAGTATCTCTTCATTCCATAAAAATTTGAAAGTTAAATTTTAGGAAGTCAAATAAAAATGGTATGTTCCCTGTGATTTTACCTGTTTAAAATAAAACAGGTATGTGAAGCTAAATGCCCATTCAGACAACGTCCAACCATATATATATATCTGTGTTCCCAAAGGTAATAAAAGAGTTCAACAATCCTGATGGGAGAACAGGACATAGAAGTACTTTGCTAAGTGTGGAGACCTGATCAGTCTCTCACTACTCTCAGGTCCTGAGTCCACCTGTCCCACCATGCCTGCCTCAGACAAGGACCATGCAGACAACACCAGAGCTGAGGGGGATACCCTGCTAAGGCCTCTTTCCCACTTTGGTGGTGTACCCTAAGCAGCTCCTCCTGTAGTGGTGGTAGGAGGAACAAGAAAGGCAGCTAGGGAAGGAGGACAATGCAGAGAAATGGTTAAGTGGGGCTCGCTTGCTGCCATTCAGAAGCATCGCGACCCCCATTGGGTTTCCATGACCATAAATCTTGAAGGAAGTAAACTGCTTCATCTTTCTTCTGAAGAGCAGGTGGATGAGTTGAAACCACCAGCCTTTTGGTTAGCAGCCAAAATGACTTAACCACTACACTGCCAGAACTCCTTGCCAGCAAGACTAGAAGAGCTTAAAGCCCACTGAGGCAGGGAAGGCAGGCAGGGAGGGAGGAAGGGAAGGAAGCTGGTGGTGGTGGACCCAGAGGTGGCCAATTGGATAGCTAGTGTGCTCAGTGGGGGCAGGCAGGTGGGCCAGGTCTTTGAGACCAAGCGTCACCATGCAAGATCAGCTGTGGTGGAGCCAGAGTTTTCACACAGTCCTTCCCTGTGGCTGTGTCCATAGACACTCAGTCCCACCAGGTGACTGTTCTGCATGTCTGTCTCCTGTATATAATATGGTGTTGCACAAGGTCCAAGTCACATAACATATTATTTCACAGAACGTATGGTGGATGCAAAGTGGCAAATACTTGTACACGTATTTTATTAAATATTGTCTCAAAGAGAAATCAATGATAAAATAGAATTTGATAAAACAAAATTTGACTGATCATTTCAAGTTTATAAAAAAAGGATAAACACCATAATCTTTACCTTTGAGTTCAATATTTTCATGTTTACATATTCTCTTCCTGTATTATTAACCATATATAGATATATATGCATATGTATGTATATATGTATTTTTTCTTTTCATATAATAAAAAGTTAACAAAGTTGAACTCCTAAAGATATGATATGAAAGTTCATTTAAGAATACAGCAAATCTTCAAAACATAAATACCTTTAATAATTACCCTCTCTTCATATTCTTTAAGTGGTATTTTGTCTTTCCAGTTAAGAAAATTTGCAAATTCTAGGTAGTTAATCATGCCATCTTTATCCACATCACAGTAGTCAAATAGCTGGTCCAGGAGCGTTTCATCCAAATGCAGGTTGACCTGGTCACAAGCTTCCTGCAGCTCAGCTTTATCTATCATCCCATCTCCTTTCTGTTAGACATGAAATACAAAAAGGATTAGTCTCCAAGAGCAGAGTATGTAACATCTTTTAGTTAAGAAAAAAGAAACAGGTCTATTACATAAATTCAAAGAATTTGTCTCAATTTTTACATAAAAGGAGTCAAATATTAAGCACAATTAGTACTAATTGCATGTACTGTACTGTACTGTGCATGTACAGTAATTTCAAGCCCCCAATAAAATATGGTGTGGCTCCAGAACTTTGTTCATTCTATTTTAATCTTTTTTTAATCATTGTGATGGTTATGTTTGTATGTCAACTTGGCTAGGCCTGATTGAGCGTCTGGGCAGCTGGATGTAGTATTTATTCCCCATGATGAGACTGGTAATCAACTCCATGGTGGAATCTACTGGGAGCAACTGAGTAGCTGCCTTTGGGTATGTGGTCTGCTTCCTGTATATAAGGAGAAGCTTTGAGAATGGTGTCTAGCCTATGGCATGCTTGGACCCTGCATATAGCTGTGTCGTTGCTCAGCAGCCTGCCATGCTCTGCTGACCTTGGGACTTACAATGGACTTAAGTTAATGGCCTGCCATGTGGTTTGGTAACATTAGGACTGTGCCTTTTGACTTGTCAACCTTAGGGTTTCTCAGTCTCAGCAGCCAGCAGCTGTCTGAGTGAAGAAATGCCTCTAGCTCCAGTGGGCTGGGAGCAGGAGGCAGAATGGGACTCCAAAGTTGAGGGGCTTTCACCCAGCCCCTAGGGCCTGGTACTTTGAACTTGGACTTAAAGCCTCCAAATTGTAAGAATAAACTCCTGTTTGTTTAAGCCTTCTCATTTGTGGTATATTCTTGTCAGAGCAGCACTAGGTAGCCAGAACAAACATGCTATTCATGTTGTCATAGAATAGGTATGATTTGTATTTGGCATTTCATTTGATCAGTGTTGTGTACTTCTGATAGCTCTCTACAGTTTTCCACCCTTACAAAGATTTTACCACCCTTGATGTTTCAAGGGGGAAATAAATGGTCCTCCACATCAATGCTTGTTAATGTGGAGAAACGGAGGAGGCAGCTGAGGACCAAGTACTGGGCCAAAACAAAAAACCCCAACTCACTGCCATTGAGTGGATTCCTGACTCATAGCGACACCCACTAAGTTTCAGAGGCTCTAAATCTTTACAGAAATAGATCACCCCATCTTCTTTCTGTGGAGTGGCTGGTGGGTTTGAACTGCTGACCTTCTGGTTAACAGCCAAATGCCTTTTCCACTACACCACCAGAGCTCAAAGTAGGCTTTTGAACAGTTTCATACCAGTTTGACCCCCTCTTGAGAATTTGCATTCCACCCTAAATATCTATTAAATCAGAATCTACATCCTAGCAATATCCTCATATATATAAGAATCACCTGAGGACCTATAACAACTACCTGGGGATCATGTTAAAAATGTAGGTTCTAATTCAGTATATCTGGGGTAGAAATGCAAATTTGGGGGGGGGGGTCCCAAACCAGAATAAACTTGTTGAAAGCCATGATTCAAAGATAACTCCCTGATGAAAGATGCCCCAGTTTTTGCTAATACTTCCTCAGATGAAGGGCATTTGTTCACCAAATTGATGGTCAGCCCCCATTGTAACAATTAGCACTAAGAATCACACTGGGAATGGGAGGAGGGAAAAAGTTTCAAACAACAATTAAACACAGGAGAACTTACACTGAGCTTGATAGGAGGGAAATTAGTGACTACTATACCATACTGTGGAGCTCTGGTAGCATAGTGCCTAAGGCACTTGACTACTAACCAGGAGACTGGCGGTTCAAACCCACCAGCCACTCCTCGGAAAGAAGGTTGGGCAATCCTACTTCCGTAGTGATAACTGCCTCGGAAACCCAAGGAGGGGTCGCTAGGAGTCGGGGCCGACTCGATGGCAAATAACAACAACAACATACCATACTGTACTGTCAGTTTGTTGTACTGTGGTGGCTTGTGTGTAGCTGTGAGGCTGGAGGCTATGCCACCAATATTGCAAACACCAGCAGGGTCACCCATGGTGGACAGCTTTCAGCAGAGCTTCCAAAGTAAGACATACTAGGAAGAAGGAAGGGGCCATCCACTTCTCAAAGAATAAGCCAGTGAAAACTTTATGAATAGCGGTGAAATACTGTTTGATGTATTACTGGAAACCTCTGTGTGATGATTATGTTTGTATGTCAACTTGGCTGGGCCTGGTTGAGTAGCTGGGCAGCTGGATGTAGTATTCCCCATGATGAGACTGGTAATCAACTCCATGGTGGAATCTACTGGGAGCAGCTGAGTAGCTGCCTTTGGGTGTGTGGTCTGCTTCCTGTATATAAGGAGAAGCTTTGAGAATGGTCTCTAGCCTATGGCATGCTTGGACCCTTCATGTAGCTGTGTCATTGTTCAGCAGCCTGCTATGCTCTGCCGACCTCGGGACTTACAATGGACTTAAGTGAATGGTCTGCCGTGTGGTTTGGTAACATCAGGACTGTGCTTTTTGACTTGTCAACCTCAGGGCTTCTCAGCCTCAGCAGCCAGCAGCTGTCTGTGTGAAGAAATGCCTCTAGCTTCAGTGGGCCAGGAGCAGGAAGCAGAGCTGGACCCCAAGGTTGAGGGGCTTTCACCCAGCCCCTAGAGCCTGGCACTTTGAACTTGGACTTAAAGCCTCCAAATATTATGAATAAACTCCTGTTTGTCAAGGCCATCCCATTTGTGGTATATTCCTGTCAGAGCGGCACTAGGTAACCAGAAACTCTGCATAGCCTGAAACATTGTCCCATATAGTGCTGGAAGATGAGCCCCTTAGGTCAGGAGGCATTCAAAATATACCTGGGGAAGAGCTGCCTCCTCAGAGTAGGGTCAATCTTAATGATGTGGATGGAGTAAGCCTTCAGGACCTTCATTTGCTGATGTGGCACAACTCAAAATGGAAAGAAACAGCTGCAAACATCCATTAATAATCAGAACATGGAATGTACAAAGTATGAATGTAAGAAAATTGGAAGTGGTCAAACACATAAAGATCAATATCCTAGGCATTGGTGAATTGAAATGGTCTGGTTTTGGCCATTCACCATCAGACAACCATATGATCTACTATGCCAGGAATGACAAATTGAGGGGAATAATGGAGCATTCATTGTCACAAAAAAATGTTTCAAGATTTATCCTGAAGTACAATGTTGTCAGTGATAGGATAATATTCATACGCCTACAAGGAAGACCAGTTAATACTACTGTTATTCAAATTTACGCAGAAACTGCCAAAGCCAAAGATGAGGAAATCGAAGATTTTTACCAACTTCTGCAGTCTAAAATTCACCAAACATGTGATCAAGATGTGTTCATTATTACTGGTGACTGAAATGCAAAAGTTGGAAACAAAGAAGAATCACCAGTAGTTGGAAAATATGGCCAGAGATCAGATGACAAAATTTTGCAAGACCAATGACTTATTCATTGCAAATACCTTTCTTCAACAACATAAACAGTGGCTATACACATGGACTTCACCAGATGGAATACACAGAAATCATATCAACTGTATCTGAGGAAAGAAGCAATGGAGAAACTCAATATTTTCTGCCAAAACAAGGCCAGTAGGTGATTGTGGAACAGGACATCAATTGCTCACATGCAAGTTAAAGCTGAATCTGAAGACAATTAAGACAAGTCCACAAGAGCCAAAATATGACCTCAATTATATCCCACCTGAATTTAGAGACCATCTAAAGAGTAGATTTGATGCATTGAAGACCAATGACTGAAAACCATATGAGTTGTGGGATGACATCAAGAACATCATACATGAAAAAAGCAAAACGTCACTGCAAAGACAGGAAAGGAAGAAAAGACCAAAATGGGTGTCAGAAGAGACTCTGAAACTTGCCATTGAATGCAGAGTAGCTAAAGTAAATGGAAGAAATGACAAGATAAAAGAGCTGAACAGAAGATTTCAAAAAGCAGTTCAAGAAGACAAAGTCAATTATTATAATGAAATGTGCAAAGACCTGGAGTTAGAGAACCAAAAGGAAAGAACATGCTCAACATTTCTCAAGCTGAAAGAACTGGAAAAAAAAAAAAATTCAAGCCTCGAGTTGCAATATTGAAAGATTCTATGCGCAAAATATTGACTGATGCAGGAAACATCAAAAGAAGATGGAGAGAATACACAGAGTCACTGAACCAAAAAGAATTGGTCGATGTTCATCCATTTCAGGAGATGGTATATGATCAAGAACCAGTGGTATTGAAGGAAGAACTCAAAGCTGCACTGAAGGGACTGGTGAAAAACAAGGTTCCAGGAATTGACACAATACCCACTGAGATGTTTTAACAGATACCACGCTGGAGGTGCTTACTTATCTATGCCAAGAAATCTGGAAGACAGCTACCTGGCCAACTGACTACAAGAAATCCATATTTGTACCCATTCCAAAGAAAAGTGATCCAACAGAATGTGGAAATTATCAAACAGTGTCATTAACAGCACATGCAAGTAAAATCCTGCTGAAAATTCAAAAACAGTTGCAGCAGTATGTTGACAGGGAACTTTTAGAAATGAAAGCTGGATTCAGAAGAGGACATAGAACAAGAGGCCATGGACATTGCTGATGTCAGATGGATCTTGGCTGAAAGCTAAGAAAACCAGAAAGATGTTTACTTGTGTTCTATTGAATATGCAAAAGCATTTAACTGTGTGGATCATAACAAAGTATGGATAACATTGAGAAGAATGGGAATTCCAGAAAACTTAAGTGTGCTCATGAGGAACCTGTACATAGAAAAGGAGGCTGCTGTTTGAACAGAACAAGGGGGTTACTGTATGATTTAAAATCAGGAAAGGAGTACCTCAGGGTTGTATCCTTTCACCACACTTTTTCAGTCTGTAAATTGAGCAAATAATCTGAGAAGCTAGATTATATGAAGAAGAATGTGGTATCAGGATAGGAGGAAGGCTCACTAACAACCTGCGATATGCAGATGACACATACTTGCTTGGTGAAAG